GATAGATAGATAGATAGATAGATAGATAGATAGATAGATAGATAGATAGATAGATAGATAGATAGATAGATAGATAGATAGATATGAGTTATTTCATTAAAAAATCGGTTTAATAACTAGTTACATTGGGATGCTGAGTCATCATAGCATTCTGGCATATCTGAATAGATTAAAAATACAAACACAGAACAGAAAAATATTGAGGTAGAAATACGCATTTCATAAGAACATTGCATGGAAATAACATATAAAACCAGTAAAATACAATAAAACACATAATATGAGGGATATGTTTCAGCATTTGGTGCCAAAAGGTTCATTCAGTCCGGTTCCGGAGGGATCAATAAATGTTGCATTTCTGGCCTGTGATGATGTCTAATGTATGAAACATTGAAGAAAACCAAAAGCAAAGAGTGACAGAAACAATATGCACGCATGCACTGACCCGGCGAGCACATCTCATCCATCACAAAAACTGCACACTTTCCCAAAACCCCTTCCTGTCAAATGCATTTATGCACAGGCCGTGAACCAAAGAAGGCAAAAGGCAAAGCGGAGGAGCGCATGTGCTCTGCATTGTGGGCTGACATGTTGTAATGTGCTGCAAGTGTGTGTGATCGAGGGGGGAGATAAAGCCCGGGCAGAAAGAGAGGGTGAAGGCAGGGAACGGGGAGAGGGAAAACGAATTAGCTGTGGAAAAGAGGGGAGAGATGGGGAAAGAAAAGGGAACAACGGAGACAGAAAGCGAGCGAGTGTTGCATGTGTGCTGGTTCCCAGCCCTGTCTGGGCCCTGTCAGCCTGTGATTTATGGCACCGAGACTGCTCCCAGTCTCCGCTGCCAGCTCCGTATTGTTACAACTGACAGCTAATGAGGCTGGACGGGCTTTCAAGCACAGCACTTAACAGGGGCCTCCATCTTCACGAGTCACGAGCTCTCCTCTTTCTTTTTTTTTTCTCCCCCCCCCTCTCGTTTATTTCTTCTTCCAGGGTGGCAGCAGTGTGGCAGGCAACCGCGAGATTTCTAGGGGGGGTGCGGGGAGAAAAATAAGGGCGGCCGACAGAGATGTACGAGCGGCACTCTGTTACTGTCGCGGCTCCGCTCTCTGCTCCCGGCGCGCCATTAAGCCAGAGGCTCGACCAGTATGCATGAGAGAGGCGCGGGGGGGGGGGGGGGGGAAAAAAAGCTCTACTCTCCTTTACCTCTGAGGCCCAAAACACTCCTCTGCAATTACCCCGTCATGCTTTGAAAGCCCGGAGTCACATGTCTGTCCTCCTACCTGTGATTATGTGAGCGGGGATCTGTGTGAGGGCGGCTGAACTCTGCAGCCTTAACCGGGGTGTGTTTTACCCCTCAGCACCCCCCCCCCTGGCCCGAGCTGCCTGGACCACATTCTGTAATCACTACCAGAGACTCTGGCAGAGGCAGCCCCCCCCCCTCTCACCCACCCCCCCTCCCTCCACTCCCTCGGCCCCTGGTTTCATGTCAGTCGTGATTAATGGCACTAGGGCCCCGGCGCGGCTTACGCTGCCAGTTCCAGCGATGTTCCCTTGATACTTAATGAACTCTGACAAACTTCTTTTCCCTTGCTCTGTTGTTCCCTTTACAATCCCCCCCCGCCCCCCTGCAACCACGTTTAAAATGCATGACACAGAGCTGCCACTGCAGCACCTTGGGGTTAGCTCTGCTGCTTTGCAAAATTTCTCAAGAGTCCGGAGTCTAAAAATAAAGCACCGCAGCCATTTAGGTGTCAGGACCTTAAGTTGTTGGCCTCGCATCGCCCGACAATCGAAAAAAACCCAAAACCTGCCAGATCCAATTAGATTTGTGTCACTTACCGTTGGCTTGCGGGTAATTTAGGGTTAACTACAGTGACTTTCTTCCCTTTCAAACAGTCCTGAAGGAATGCAAGATGTATTTTTTTATTTGTTCTTTGTCTTCGTCAGTTGCTCATTTTCCCCAAACAAAACTGAAGGCTCAGAAATCCTGAGGTCATAACTCATGGTAGACTGAGCTTTCTCAATAGTGCATTCTGTACAAGGTTTCCATGAAACCGACCCAGGGCTTTATAGGCAGTCTCTGTCCCCATCTGCTGGTCACTTTGAGCCGGGTGGGGGGGGTTTCATGAGGCGAGAGGCATTTTTGGACAGTGGGAGGAAGCTGGGGGGAAGACAGGTTTAGAGTATTTTATGTATTTTAGTTTTCGAACCTGCATTAAGCCTTTAAAAAAAAGAAAACAATACGTCATGTTTGAAGCTGCACATAGGCATTTTCGTTCACCATCGGGCTGATTCTTGCCTTTTTTGCCTGTAGCGCACAGCGTTCAGACAAACGAGAGGCCACGGCACACAGCTGCAGCTCCACAAGGAACTCTTTTAGGCAGAGTAAAGGTTTCAGGTGAGACTTTAAGATGAAGGTCCTCATCTTTATCATCTCAGTGTGATTACAACAGCTCCTGAGGAATGGAGGGTCTCGATGCGTTCGGTGCCGTCTCTGACATCTGGATCAGGGCAAACAGACACTGTGCGGCCTCTTTTTGTGTCTCTGTCTGCAACGGTGCATTTTCAGGATGGTTAACGTGACCTCTGAACAGGGTGGTGAACCCAGGAGTCTGCACCGCCTCCTGGTGGATGCATTCCTAACGACGGTCCCAATGTAAAATACTTATTGATGCACCAGAGCTGATCCAAACCTCTATTTTCATTCGCTTACATACAATAGACTGAAATTTCAGACTGAAATGGGGGCAAATTCTCTTACAAGATCAGACTGTGGTTGGCTTACATTTAATAATATAAGGATGCCAAAATCATATAGACCAGGTTTCCTATTAAGGTCCTTTAGGGATGCAGGAATTATATGTTTCACCAGCTTCATAACAACTTCTTGGCACCATTAGCAGGTCTGGAACAACCGTTTTATTAGATGCATTGATTCAGAATGATGTCCAAATGTCTTAGACCTACAGGACAGCGGACCTCGATGGTGGGACATGGACTCTCCTGGCCTACAGGATGACTAAAAGTAACAACAACAAAAAAAGGCATATTCTGTAAACCGGTCAACCATTTTTTAAAACAAATTTTCTTGTGCAACAACAATCAGCAAAAATAAGTTATATTGCCAGAAAATGGGTTTGTGTTTAATAATATCCCTTTTGTAACAAATGAGTTATCTCTGGCCTATACAGAAAAAAGAGAAAATAATAAATCAGATTTTGAATTGCTCTTGGGGGCCTCCTAGTGGTTGTGTGGTCCTGAGCAGCCTCTCAGTTTGATACATTTCTTGTTCTGGATGCATTAATGAGCCCTTTGACCTGGTTCAACGGAGAATTTACACACTGATTTCCTCCTGCTTGCATCAGTAATTGATCAGTATTTTGCACTGTAGTAGTAATGGTCATGGTGAGTGTTTTTGCCATTTCCTGCGGTGTCTTTTTCTGCCTTTCTGTTTTATTAAGTTAATCCTGGTGAGTGTTTTTGGTTTTCTGGTTGCAGGTTTCACATCTGCTGTTGTTTGCTCCTTTCTCAGCTGTAATCCATTTGTTAATGATCCTGCAGTTTTTGGCTCTTTCCTGCCAGACTGTTGCACTTATGAATGTTTGTTTTTGTGTCCTTGTAGCTCTGGTTGTTCGTTTTCTCCTCTTGTTTAGTTGTATTCAGTTTTTCTTTTGTTTTAAGTGCCCATTCTGGTTTCTGTTTAGCTCTTTGTGTCTATTAATCTTCTATCCGCCACCACCTTCCTGCTCACTTCCTCTAGTGACAGAAAAAAAGTCTGACCTGTTTTAGATAAGATCACTCTATTGTGTTTTTGATTAATTATTAATGCCAAGATAGACCACAAAAAAAAGTTTTCTTGAATCTGTTGCTAGTCTTAAATGGAAAGCGAACCTACATTGATGAATCATATGAGCAAACATATCTTAAATGAATTATTTCCTTAACTAAATAACTGTTGTAAAATATGAATCACCACATGTAATTTCCGTTTTTTGGTTTATGTAAATATTGACTTGCTGATTAAGTCTGGTAAAGAAGAATGAAGAGATAAGGCTGCAAGTTGTTCCCCAGAACTCAGTCAGCAATTGCATTAGGTAGTGGTTTTTTATTCAGTCATTTTCCATAAATTTCCCAGAAAAGTGTTTAATCTACCTATTAAATGTTTCTTAAGAAAACTGAATGAAACGCACACGAAAATCTAATTTGTACTAGAGTTAATTTGTCTTTTTCTTTAAGACTCTACAATTAATACCTTATGTGAAGGATGTGTAAGGCACTCAGTGTGAGACTACTTCTCTCAGAAAATAGTTGTTAGTGCAAAAGGTTAAGTTATCAAATCAAATTTAGTTTTTTTTGGACAACACATTTTAAAATGTGAATTTAGCTACACCTTTTATTCAAACATTCTTGTTTTTGCATGTCTCCTCAATTAAACTGGTGGTTTTCTGTCATTTGATTGAGCAATTTGTGAGAAGTGAAGTTATTCAAATGCATGTTTCAGCGTATTTACTCAAACAAACTTACGCTGTTGTAGTCTTTGCTTTATCTGTCCCCTGCCGGTAGGTGACCACCCACCAGAGGGCGCTAACCAAACTCTGCGTTAGCCGAGCAGCCCAGTGTAAGAGACCAGAAGAAGAGCCTACTCCAGTCTGCAGTTTTTCTGTTTTTTCTTTATAGAAGTGCGAACACTCAGATAAAATTTAAAGGTAAGAACCGACGAGCTGACCAAACGTGTGTCTTTTTAACCAAACTCTACCAATTAGTTTACCTCACAATAACTTGCGAAAATGGGACGGCACGTGCGGAAGTTGTTTTGCTAACTTGAGTCGTTAGCAAGTTGTTGGGCTAAATGTGCCATTTTTTCCCTTTTTTTTGCTTTCAAACTTCTGAGAGATTATAGATATATGTGATGAGATATATCTGAACTAGTCCTAAACTTAAAATAGGTTCCTGACCTTTGATGTGTAAATAATACAGTAATATGCGTTCTGCTAATTCTGTTAGCTCCCATGCCCAGTTATTCAAACTCAGTTAAAAAATATGTATATTTAAATTGAAATGTAATTAACGTCATTCATAATACTAAGTTATGGAGGTTTACTAAGCATTGGAGGCTTTACGGTTGCAACGTTCATTCGGCTCACAAATAATCTTAACATGTATTCATTATCATGTGCAGTTATCTCTAAATTCGACTTATTATTGACCCACAAACAGCAACCTGATCAAAAATTTGAACTTGATTTTAGTTTTGTTCATTTCTATATAAAGCTGTTCCACAAGGAAGTGGCATTCAACTCGTATATAAAAATGCAGGAGACTTGCATCACACTGGAAAAAAAGATGAAACACAGAAATGTGTGTTCATACTTTCTAGTGTTTTATAATGATCTAAAGGTGGTATTGAAATGAGTGCTAGAAAAAGGCAGTCAACTGGAGTAAAGACAACACAGTGTTGAACCATAAGGTGCACCGGATTGTCTCTCGGTAAATCCTTACTAACCAAAGCTAAGGCGGCTCCACATCTGACTCCCTCTGCTCAGGCTTCTCAAACAGCTAACAAACTCTTGCCATTGTGTTTTTTTTAAATCTCTGCATACTTAACAGATTAAACAACTGCAGACGTTAATTTTTTCCTATGAATCACCAGGTTGTATACGTCTCTGCACTTTGGCCCTAGTCCTGTGTAGGTGTGACAAGGTCAAAGTCCCAGCTGATGCCTGGCTAAGCCTGAGCTGAGAGGAGATAAACCAGTGAGTGAGAAGCCGACTCCTGTGCGTCGTACCGCGCCGAGGATCGTCTATTTTTACCGTCACATGTAGCCGGAAGAGTGTCTTAATACATCCATCTGCTCTTTTTTTTTTTCATGCAGTCGTTGACCGTTGGCCTGCCAGGATGGCACAGTGGGGCGCCGTGTTCGCCATAATAGCGGCACTTGGAGGAGCAGCGCTCTTAGCGTCCGTGCACAAGATTGAAGAAGGACACACTGGGGTGTATTACAGGTGAGCCCGAGGGAAGCATTTATACTTAAAGCCTGAACCCATGTGTGATGCGAAAGTGTGTCTACAAAGAGTTGTGCCTCAGTAGTGTGTGGCGTAAGCACCTTAATAGTTGTGCAGTGCGCCCTGTAATTACTTTGGCATTAAGGCAGCTATGCCGTGCCTCCAGGATGTGTTGACATAACCTGCACAGGCCCATCTTCTCTATAGCAGGCTGGACTGCGTCAGTTTTTTTTTTCTCGGTTCATTTGAGCTGACTCAAAAGGCCGTAACTATTTTTCTGTGTTTGTGTGCGTTCACAGGGGCGGGGCTCTGTTGACGGCCACCAGCGGCCCCGGTTTCCACCTCATGCTTCCATTCATCACAACCTACAAATCTGTTCAGGTGGGTCGGATGAAGTTAGACCTCATTCCTTTTTTTACAGTTTAATACCAGTTTAGAATATAGAAAATACATTGGTGTGTCAGCAATACCAACAAATGGATGTGAACTTGTTCTATTAATGCAAAAGTATCTACATTATTTTAAGTAGATCGAGCATGTTTGACATTCTGGTCTGCTTCTTAGTCACTTTATTTATGCATTTTGATTAAGTCTTACTTGTTTTAAAGGGATCACCTGAACACAGAATATATTTAAAATGTTACGCCGGAGGCTTTTGACTATTTCATGAATTTACTGTTACTGTTAGCTTACTGTGAACTTAACGGCAGTGACAGGTGAAAAAGGAACAGTATCTAGGGCACCCATATTGGGTCTAGGGCACGTTTTTCCAATGAAAGGTGGTCGTGCAGGTGGCCATATCAGAGCAGACCAAATTTATCGCAGAGCTCACATTTGAAATATGTCTTGTGGTTCAAAAGCTGTCAATGCAGAAAGCGATAACACAAAGTGTCGCCTGTGATGCACATCTGGGTGATGTGTACAGAGTGCTGCTCCTGGTGCTGAGCACAGAGCTGAAACCCATCGTTATGAGCCGGCTGGAGACATTTACAACAATTAGATCCTTCAGCTGGAAATCTGTGCTGGATTCTGTTGACCTCCAGGCCCCCAACAGGCCTGATTCTGTTCTGGAAAATCTGCATTTCTTCCCGAAAAATAGCTGTACATGAATGCAGCTGCAGGCCGACACCCTGTCCTGCAGAGAGGAAACTACACGTGGAACCAAAGCTCGTTTAAAACCGACTGACGCAAAGTAGACGGCTCAAAATGTGGGGGGGGAAGGGAAGAGACTCAGAGGCTGAAATCTGCTTTCAGTTCTGAAGCATGTCGGCATGATGGAGGTTCATACAGGTTTTCCAGCCCCCATCCAGGCAGCATCTTTTACGGCAGGGCCCGGCACGTATCATCAGGATCCAGATGGGCCTCATCCTGCCTCCGTGCAAAATGCGTGCTAAAAGAGTCGAGGGATGGCCCGACCTGCCTTTAATCCAGATGTTTTAGCAGCTCCTGAAAGTTAAAACGGGACAAAACGTACACCAAACCTTTGGGTCAGCTGCTGGAATCGTCCGTCAGACAAGAATGGGACTTTTTTCGGATATTCAAAGACTTTTGTTAAATATCCGATAAACAACGAAATGCCTCGGGTTCCGGTTAGTGTATTTTCATGTTCCGTTGGGGAAAAAGACAACACAACTTAATAAGATTTAGATGTAACTAATTGTGTGTGTTTATCCAGCTGCCCCAACGTCAGTCCAGACGGGCCATTAAAAACCTTCAATTTAGGCCAAAAGTGGAGCCTGCATCGGTGATCTGAGCAGGCAGGCGTGTCTTTAACACGCTTTAGCAAAGGAAACTCAAAACAGAAGTTTTTATGCTTTGTTACGAGTCCTTTGGGAGCGAATAAAAGCTGAACGGATTCACAGAAAAAGGAAAGTTGTAGTAGATGGTATGTGCTTTAGCAAGGGGCCCATGGCAGGTTGTGTAGACTGAAGAGGAGGTCCTAACGCGTCCTGTAGGGAAGAGCCCTGCCCCAGTCCGGCCCGCCTGCAGCTGGACGGTTTCCGGCTGACAGACTGGAGAAAGAGGCCTTTGACGAGCCGCCCCTCTGTTTCTCTGCAAGAAGAGAAAATGAAATCGTCCCGGCTGTTGTTTACAGAGGCGGACAGCTGCGGCCTTCACTCACACAAGTGTTTGCCATCAGAAAAGCTAAACAAGCTTAATTTTTTATCGGCTCGGCGCAGAAAACCCTGAAAGTCCCTCACTTAAAGCAGGTGGGTTTGAGCCCTCCTGATGTCGACCTGACAGAAAGCTTAAATCTGGAGTTTGTTCTGCTCACAGAGTTGTACGTTTGTGTCAGAAAGCAAAAGTGGTTGACCCTCCTGTTGTCTCTGCAGACGACGCTGCAGACGGATGAGGTGAAAAACGTTCCCTGCGGGACCAGGTATGTGTGCGCCCCCCCCCCCCCGTCCCTCTGACCGGACGGCCACGCCCACCTCACACACCCGCTCTGTTTTCTTTCAGCGGAGGAGTGATGATCTACTTTGACCGCATCGAAGTGGTGAACTACCTCGTCCCCTCAGCAGGTACGCAGGAACCCACCCTGAGCTCCCACCTCCGGCTGTCCCCTGAGCCCCCGTTTGTCCCCCTGCAGTGTTCGACATCGTGAGGAACTTCACGGCCGACTACGACAAAGCTCTGATCTTCAACAAAGTGCACCACGAGCTCAACCAGTTCTGCAGCGTCCACTCCCTGCAGGAGGTCTACATCGGCCTGTTTGGTAATCTGGACGCACTCCTTCCACCAATCTAAGCTCATGTCTTTGTTTTATTCTCATTTTCTGTGTACTGAGGCCTGGTGTTGTCCAAACCCCAGCCCTCAGAGTTCTCTGACCTGCCCGCTGTCCTCCATCCTGGAGGCACAGATCTCACACTCCCATCCCCTCTCGGGCCGCTGGCCTGCAGGCTTTTGAAGTTTCTCTGCTTCACAACACCTGAATCACAGCAATGTTGCGCAGAGCATAGCGATGTGTTAAAGTCACGCATTTGACTCAGAATCCAGCGTGTGGGCGCGGAACGTGATAAAACCTGCAGGTCGGCAGCCCAAAGACGACCAGAGTTGCACACCGGAGTTACAAAAACAAAACAGAAAAAGCCACTGAAGGCTGTGCGAACCTTCAGAGATTCAGAGGTTAACTATGAAACAAACTCTGGTCCCCGCAGACCAAATCGACGAGAACCTCAAACTGACGCTGCAGGAGGATCTCACATCCATGGCGCCCGGGCTCATCATACAGGTAAGTGGAAACATGCCCAGTGGAGCAGGTCGTTCCAGGTTATCCCATCAGTGGGTTCCCCCTCCCTGCCATCCTCTCCAGATCCGCACGGCAGAGTTATACTCTATACAGAGTCTTTACCAGATGGTGACGCTTAAGCATGAAGCCATGAAGCGTTAAAGGGTTCAATCGTGTGGCTGAAAACTGAGCTGTGTCCCTGGTGACACGGTTCCTCCAGAACTGTGAACCATTAGGTAAGATTGTGAAACTTTAGAGGCCCCCCTTCCCGGCTGATTTTATCTCCTCTGCACAGCCACAGTGATGCCGGCATTTCAGTGACTCTGTATGAAACGCTTCACTGCGCTTTAACAGTCGGCTGATTTGTTTGTTTTTTTTGTTGTTTTTTTTACCCTGAAAATCTCCAGAAACATTAAACAGAAACAGAAAAATAACTTGGGTCCCTGGTGGAGAATAAACGGCTTTTGGCTTAGAGGGTCTGTATCATAGGACTGCAACCCCCCCCCCCCCCTCATTCCCTCCTCTTCTACATTCTTCCTGCCGCTGTCGTAAACAGTCCGTTCCTCTCTCTGGTCCACAGGCGGTCCGTGTCACGAAGCCCAACATCCCAGAGAGCATCCGCAGGAATTATGAGCTCATGTGAGTCCCCGCTGACCCCCCCCCCCCCCCCCCCAATCCCAGCCGCCGCACCGTGTATTTGCTTTCCCCTCAGATGAGCAGAGCTCATGTCCTGTTGTTGGAGAACACTGCTGCTGCTCTCTATCAGTGTGTGAACACAGCCATGACTCCACAGTTTTCTGAGGCTCCAGGATCTGATGTGTTCAGTATGCAGGCATCCAGCTAGGAGCTGTGGGAGGAAGAGCAGCCAGACTGGGGGGGAGGGGGAATGGGGGGTGTAAACTTGGCCAGAGATCTGTGAACCAACGACAGTTTGGAAGCTCCCAAAAGAAGTGAAGACAACTGTGTTTACAAACCCGGGTTCACTGGTGTAAACCGAGATGTCTTTAAACATCACGGTCCCATTTTTTTCTCCCTCTGCTCACATGGCTTTGATTTGATTCTCCCCCACAGAGCCGAGCCTCATTTGGCCTTTTGTCCTCCTCTGTCCTGCCAGAGACTTTCTCTCATGGGGTTTCCCAGATAAATACGTCCTCGGATTCCCTCCGAGCCTTTTCCGATCGGCCCAGAGACCTGGCCCGAAGTCTGAAGCCTAAACTCTGTCTTGCAGGGAGAGCGAGAAGACGAAGCTGCTGATCTCCCAGCAGACGCAGAAGGTGGTGGAGAAGGAGGCCGAGACGGAGAGGATCAAAGCTGTGATCGGTGAGGAAAAGGAGGCGAGAAAGAGCCGCCGAGAGCCTCCCAGAGACGAGCGGCTCTTCTTTGTGTTGTAGAGGCAGAGAAAGTGGCCCAAGTGTCGGAAATCAAGTTTGGGCAGAAGGTCATGGAGAAGGAAACGGAAAGGAAGATCTCTGAGATTGAAGGTTGGTGATGGTGCCGATACAAGAGCAAAATCCCTTCTTTTTTTTAATGAAAGCTTTCAGGAAGCAAGGATCAAAACCACTAATAGAGTGTTTAAGCACATGAGTTGTTAAAAGAAATCCACAAAGTTGATCATAACTTCATTCAGGGCCACATGAAGCTGCTTTTGGTGCAGTTTTCCCTTCAGAAGACTCATAAAATCAGTCCTTACAGCTTTCGTATAACCAGGAGGAAGCAGCTTGGTGTTCTCTCCACACCTTCCCCTATCTTTTTGACACTTTCTTAACCACCTCCCTAAAGCAGTCCCAAGGCCTCGCTGTGATGGGAGCCGTTTAGCAGAGAAATGTGCACACAATTACCTTCCGCCTCTGTGTGGAAGTGCTGCCTGGTGAGGGTGAGGACCATCTGCGGGCTGCAGAGCGGCAGGATTAGCATTAGATGCGCCCCGTCGGAGGGGGACCTGAAGCCCATCACACCAGCTGAAAAAGGCCGAGCTGCTGTCCGAGCTGAAGACCTTTTGTCAGCGGTGCAGATTTAAATCTGAACGGGGCTGCGGAGGGCTGGAAGATCGCCAGAGTCCCACCTAATTACAAAACATTTTCCCTGGAAACCTCAGCTCTGGAAGCATTCCATTTCCGCAGAAATTCAGAGGAACATTGAGTTAATTGGAAGAATATCGCACAATATCAGCCTGATTACAAAATAATAGGAACCACACAAATAACAGTTGACACACAAAGTTAGTGGCAGAACTTTCTAGGCGATTAATTCTTTCGTCAAAAAGTCAAAAGTTCAGTGGAATGAATGCAGCTCTTCTGGACGCATGCTGCGCCTCACAGCGTGGCACGTGAACGTGCACGTGGAGGTGCACGGGCCTCCGTGCAAGTTGCAGCTCCTCATTGTGTAGCTGGCAGCTCTGCTGTTTTGGTGTCAGATCAATTCTTCGGTATATTCTCACCAGCTTTCCGTGTTTTCTCACGTGTGAATTTAGCTGTGAATATTCCCAGTTTTGTTCCAGTTCTTTCCTATGATTTACTGGTCAAATTTCCCAACTTCCCAACCAGATTCCCAGAGTTTAGCAACCCTTAAAATGAACCCCGGTCTAAAATCTGTGGGAGGTGAGACTTAGACCCCAGCCGTTCTGGGGTCTAAGTCCCGGTCTGGCCCTCCTGGTCTGACCCGCCTATACTGACCAGCCCGGTCTGACCCTCCCGGACTGACCCGTGTTCTGTTCTGGCAGACCAGGCCTTCCTGGCGCGGCAGAGGGCCCAGGCGGACGCAGAGTTCTACACGTCGCAGCGGAC